TTGACCCTGGATTCCAATATGTGATTAATGGGGTAAGAGCGGCCATTTTGGACCATGAAACATAAACCACACAGTGAGGATGACAAAGCAACAAGATCAAGCCATGTGCCAACCCACGGGTGCTTCCTCAGACTTGATTATGTGTGAGAGATTTGATTCTATCTTGTTTAAGCCTCTGTATTTGGTGTTCATTTTTTCAGAATGCCCTGACCTTTATTCTAACTAATACAATTTCTTTTAGCCCCAACATGAAATATTTATCTGTTCCATGAAGACAGGGCAGTATAAACAGGGAAAGATTTCACTTCAATCTGTTTCTGCTCATTTGGCCAAAATATCCAAACAGTATTTGAGTTCCCATTCCTTGTACCAGTGCACCAGAGACTTAGGTTTAGCGTAAACTGCTATAGAACTCAGGTTTAGTTAACAATCTATTGTTCCTCAGGAGATCCAATTCTATGTTGAATCTGAAACAGAGGTCTCAGGAAAATGTATTCATGCCTTAGGGTTAGAAAATGACATTGCCAATAAGCCTCTAATTCTCCATACAATCCAGTCACCATCCCCTGAATGGAGAATAGCGTAGGTGTATGAGGACATACTCCCCTCACCAAAAGAGGCAAGTCAAGCTCTAAACTGCCACTAAATAAAAATATGTACTTCATTTTAAAAAATGTGGTTGTATGGGGATCTAATAAACCACCACTGAATGCAGAAGGGATTTAGGTAAGACCTGTGTGTCTTCAGATGCTCAGCCCCTGCTGTGGTGCTGGCCACGAGGTCTTCACACATTCATTGATCAAAATGTGTCATCTGCATGGAAGTTCATCCCTGCTGTGCCTTGAAATGTTTCAGGCCCATTGCATGGAATGGCCGGTCCGCAACCACAGAGATTTGATGAAACGCCCTTTTCATTCACTACTTCCCTTAACATCAAGCTCAGGAGATTAAAAAACTGCAGTGACTGGGACTGGAGAAATGGCTCAGCAGTTGAGAGTGCTGTTCTTGCAGAGGACCCCAGTTTGATTTCCAGCACCCACATGGCAGCAAGCAACCGCCTGTGGCTCCAGTTCCAGGGGATCCAGCATCTTCTTCTGACCTCCACAGGCACTGCATGACACAGGTGCACTTACACACATGCAGGCAGTACACTCATACAAATAAATAAATAAATAAATAAATAAATAAACAAATAAATAAACAAAATAAATAAGATTAAAAAAAAAAAACCTGAAGTGACTGGCCCAGTAGCATCTTGTGGGGAAAAAAATATCTGTTGGTGTTGGGTAAAATGGAGAGGCTGATGCACTCTGGGAATCAATACATCCTTTATTGAAATAACCGAAAATCTTGGTATATTATGATCAAGTAGTATTCTAGCTTCCTGTCTGCTGCTATAATAAAACACTGAAAAGCAATTAGGAAAGGATTCCTCTGGCTTACATTTCCAGGTTATACTCCATCACTGAGGGAAGTCAGGGCGGGACCCCAAGCAAAAGCTTGAAGGCAGAACTCACAGGAGCAATGCTGCTTCCCAGCTTCTTTGCAGGCTCATGCTTTGCTACTTTCTAATATAGCCCTGGACAAGCTGTCCAGGGAATGGCACCACCCACGGTGGGCTTGTGCTCCTGTATCAATAACAATCAAGACAACACCCCGCGGACAATCCCACAGGCCAATCTAATCTGGGAAATCCCTCAACTGAGATGCCCTTCTCAGGTGACTCTAGGCTGTGTCAGGTTGATCATCAAGATAACTAGAAGAAGTAGATATATTTACCCTCAAAGAGGCCATGAGAATCTAGGCAGTAACAATACTGGACTGTGAAATAGCAACACTAATGTTAGTAAAATTCAGAAGGGGCGCATGACTCAACTTGAAGAGCAAATAGTTTTTATCTTAAGTCAGGCAGAGATTGTTATCTGAGAAGTCAGTCTCTGTCCTGCTCAGAATCTAGCATGGAAAACAAATTAGTCACCCAGGGTAGTAGTATGCCCGGTGCCAGGGGGCTCAACTCTAGACTGAAGAGTGGATCAGGGTTGCCTTCAGAGCAGTGGTGCAGCAGGGATAAGGGAGCCTGGGAGACCCACCACAGATCACATGGCCAGAGCAGACAGAGCTGGATCCAGAAGGCAGCAATTACATGACGGCAGCACCTACCCCAGCTCAGTAAGAAGTCCATCTTGTTTCAGAAAATCCACCTCCCTCTTGCACTCTGCCCTTGTTTCAACTTAAATGCCTCTCCTGATTTGTCAAAACTGAATATACAGTACAGTGACTACACTGTAATAACTTAATGTGAATTACTAGATCCCTTGGGAGCTATCCTGCTCTACGTACATGCTAGTCACAGGTATACGAAACTTAATCACTTCACGTTTTGCCCTTGAAGAGCTTACATTCTAGAAACCCAGAAGCCTGCCTATTAACCACAGCACCAAAGATCCTCTCAAAGCTGCCTGCCTCTTTTGTTTCCTCTTTGATAACTTTGTTGTTCTATTTAACCTCAGCACAATCGTCCCATCTGGCTGAGGGAAAGTCTCAAGCCTCCCTGGAAACTCCAAATGCTAGAGGTCACCAGGACAGCTGGAGGGTAGAGAAGGGCATGTTCAGCTGCTCTTAGAGGGCTGCCTCTTGACTGATTTTCTCCCTACTGAAGGGTCAGAGAAGGGAGATGCCAACTGGCTCTCAGCAGAATTCTTGATACCCTCCTCATCCCAGACCAGCACCAAGAATTTTCAAAGATTTACAAAGAAAAACAAAAACAAAAAAAGACAAACAAAAAAACATTGTGAAAAGATCAGGATCCATATCTTTATGGATAATCTGCATATATTACATGGGAAGACAAGTAATTTTGACAATTTGCATTGGAGACAGGCGGTCAGGGCCAAGAATACTTTGAGGGGATCAAAATAAGACTATAAAAAAGGCATTTGAATTTTGCCTTTATTTTCTTAACCACTTACAAAGCAATAACTGCTGGTTGGAAATGTGCCCATATGTCCAAGGCAATTATTGAAATGATTGGAGCAATTATTGAAATGTAGGAATACATTATTTTGCTCTCCATAATCCATCTCTCCTCCCTCTTATGACAAAATCCAGGTTTATTGTGGGAAACTGTATCTTTTCTCTTCTAAGCCATCTGCTGTGGGTGGCCCTACCTTAAACTTTATCTTTAATTCCAGGGGTAGGTTCCAATTGGCTTAAGTTACTGGTTTAAGTTACTGATTTGGAAATGGGAAGAGAATATAATCAGAGTCTGTAAGTCAGAAGTCATGTTCTCAGAGTTTACACAAAGTGTGTTGTTTTTATACATCCCTGTAGGAGCTTCCAGAAGAAAGAGTCTCTATCCTTGGGTGGTGTGGTGTGAGCACAGAAGGTGGGGGCTTTGGCATTATTGAGAAGGACATGATTGGATGAAGCCTGGCGAGGAAGCTGTGGCAGAGCCAGATTAGGGCACCAGGAGCTCTAGGAGCCACCTCAGGGTCTCCATTAAGCTTTGCCTGCAGTTCTACCTTTAGATTCTGTTTAGGTGAAGGAGCCTTTGGCTTCTTTAAACCCATTTCCATCTTCTAACACTATCAGAGTAACCAAACTGATACAAGTACCTTAAAAACTTTGGAAAGGAGTTGTGTGCAGAGAACTGAAGCTCTTTTGGGGACAGCAGGCCAGTGTAAAAAGTGGAGACAGAAAAAAACAAAACAAAACAAAACAAAACAAAAACCCCTTCTTCCCTAGCTTCTATGAATTCTGCAGGGGATGATCACAATACACAGCACTGCACAGTTGTTTCTACCTCTTAAAAACATATTTTCCACACAGGTTGCCTCACTTGAGTTTCACAATCCTGAGGTACAGCAATGTATTAACATTTTTATTTTGCAGTAGTTGTGTAATTAGCACTTCATATAGTTTAAAATATACTTCAAATTCAATGCCTTAAAAAAATTGTCACAATAACCAAAAGAGGTAGGAAAGGTGGGTCTGTCATAATATTCATTTTCCACTGAATTAAGTTGAGCATCAGGGGTTAAATGTGGAGGAAGCAGGCTTCAATCTTTGTTTCTGACTTCTGCCAGTCAACACTGTCCTCAGAACCAAAGATACTAATTCTACTTTCACTAGAAAAGTGCACATTGCTAGGTTAATGTGCAGGTGTTTGCACCTGGCTAAGCATAGCCACAGCATTCCAGACCTGGATTTCAGGGGCAGAGCTGGAACTAGCCAGCTGGTGACCTTGGGCAAGTTCCCAGTGTCCCGCATTCTGTTACAGGACAGCTTTGGGCTCCATCTCTGACTCTCCTTCCTGTGCTAAACGTTCTATAATTCTAGACCCATATTCTGTTACAGAACAGCCTTGGGCTCCATCTCTGACTCTCCTTCCTGTGCTAAACGTTCTATAATTCTAGACCTGCATTCTGTTACAGGACAGCTTTGGGCTCCATCTCTGACTCTCCTTCCTGAGCTAAACGTTCTATAATTCTAGACCTTCTGTCTTCTCTCTTAGATTCATTTATTTCCCCCAGATGATAATCATAACCTTGGCTAACGTTTATTCTCTCACTGGTGCCAGAGTCTGCGTCAAGATCTCTATCTCCATTTTTTTTTTTTTTTAGATCTTGCCATGCTCCTAAGAATTTTATTTAACAGCTACGTAAACTTTAACTCACAGAGGTCAAATGAACTGTCTCCAAGATCTATAGGAAATCCGACCCAGGTCAGAGGGACCACAGGAGACCTGAATCGGGTCTGTATTATTTTTCCTGAAGAAATTAAGGTCTGAACAACCGGTCACCTCGCTCCACGAGAATAGAGGGAGTGCGAAAGGGTAGAAAGGGCCAAAACAAACACAGCAAGCTCCTGAGGAGGCAAAACCAGAAAAGTCCCTGGAAGGACGCCCAGAGGCTCCTTCACAGGCTCAGGGGGCGGGGCGACCTTCCTCGCCTGCCACAGAATCCAGCGGCCTTCCTACCCTTCCAGCTCCAGACCATTACCTTGTTGAGATGCGGGTTCCTGGTGACATCGTATCCGCGCTTCTTCAGGGGCACTGGGCGAGGCGGGCCGGACTTGGAGTGGCAGCCTAGGGCGGGCGCGGAGGGTGTCCAGCGCGGGAGGGGACCGCAGGCTCTGCGGGGCAGTGAGACCAGCCGGGTGCCAGTGCTCAGCGCGGCGCCCATGGTCCTGGCGCAGATCTGGAACCGGGGAGAGACCAAGGTCAGGGGCGCCTCCTAGCCAAACAAGGTCCTGAGCGCCAGCAGGGCACCGGGCCTGAGCCGGACTCGTGCTCCTGGAGAGGCCTGGAGCTCGGGATGGGTTCAAGGCGGCAGCCTCCGCCCTTCCTCCGAGGCCACCTGCTCAGCCCTCCATGTCGGTGATGATGCTCGGGGCCTCTCGGTGCACCCAGCAAAGCGAAAGCAAGCCCAGAAAGCACATCCTGTGCGGTGACAGCCCGCGCCATCCCCGCCCCCATCGCGGAGAAGATGTGATTGTTCAGCGAGGGCTCCGGCGCCCTCCATCCCGCTCTGTGCTTGGCCTCGGTTCCTCGTTCCCAGGCTCACCTGCTTCACTCACTGAGCTGGTCTACGTGGCTCCGCTGTGGGCAGGTCGGGCGAGGCGCTGCGGTCTCTGCTCCACTCCTGTCAACCACTGTGCTGTGCCCACAGCCACGAGCGCGCGGGATTGGTGCGTTCTGGAAAAGCGGTCCCCAACCCTTTCTTCGTGGTGCCAGGCTTCCCTTGAGGATGCGCACGGGGCACCTCAGAACCGTAGGCACGTGTCTCCAGTAACAAGATGAAACTCAGTTCCCTCCCACTTCAGGATGCACCTGTGCACCTGGACACTGTCCATCCAAACAGGACTAAACGCACCGAGGGGAGAGCCTTTAGGATCAGCAGGCCCTGTTCCAGGCCCCACTTTTGAGTCAGGCCGTGAATGCAGGATGCTGTCCCCAGTACAGTAGCCATTAGCCACTTGTGGCTCTAAGTATTTTAATAAATCACTGTAAACAGAACACAATTTAAAATCCAGTTCCTCAGTCATTCTGATAATGTTTTGGCGTCCAAGAGCCACTTGTGTTTACATATGTGCAAAACACTTAGACCTTTTCAGAAAATTCTAGTCTATTGATATAAGATCCTCAGTTCATAAGTAGGTTCCTGGGAACCCAGTGCAGCCTGCTGTCATGGATATTAGGGTCAGACCTGCACCTTGATGTCCCCCATCCCTGAACACAAATTTATACTTCCTTCATTCAATAGTCAAGAGATTCCTTTTAAAGTAAACATTTCATTGCCTATGGGATAACATTGAAGTCTTCAGTGAGTCTCTTGGTTAGACCACAGACTAGTTCCTGCACACTTCCTCCTGCTCTGTCAACTCCACTAGGTCCTCTGTGAACTCTACCCTCACTTGCTCTGTTTCCCCACCCTACTCTGTTCCCTCCCACCCCAGCGTCTTAGGATCTGCTATTGCCTTTACATGCACTGTTATACTATACTCCAGGCTTCCAAACAATGGCCACATTCCCATCTCTGAGGTTACTTCTAATTTGTCAACTTGTAGGCCTTTATCCTGTTCGGTGTTGACCATCACCAGGGATAGATAATGAAAAGGTTTGCCCCTACACTTAAGTTTAACTAGTCAGTTATTAGCTTGTTTCTCTGATGTTTACTGTCCCCTCCCACCATTCCCCAATACAAACTTTACCAGGCCAGGCCAGGGTCTCTGCCTGTAAATCCATTTATCGTCAGGACCTGGCATGTTGTGAATGAAGACAAGTGGTAGATCTGCTCATAAGAATTATGAGCCCTCCATAATGAAAAGGTTTGCCCCTACACTTAAGTTTAACTAGTCAGTTATTAGCCTGTTTCTCTGATGTTTACTGTCCCCTCCCACCGTTCCCCAATACAAACTTTACCAGGCCAGGCCAGCCCTCCCTCAGAACAGCTGCCAGACAGACAGCATAGTTCTCTCTGATTCACTTTTGAAGCTCATTCCACCCTGATGGTGGTGTCCGGTACTCCTCTCTGGGCTCAGGATTCCCTCATCTCAGGAATTATTGCCTTCCCTTTAAATCCCGCCCCCCCCACTCCAATCTCCAATTCCCATTCAATTAAAATGATCTGTATTAAAATCTGCTTCTTCAAGCGGCATCAGAGTTCCTTGTTGGAGGGGTAGAGGCAGGGTCAAAAACACAGATTTCCAGGTACCATCCAGTAGAGGTTAAATGTTGGAAACTGGAGTTATCCTTGGTCTGGATATTTACATAAAGCTACACATAATATTTTTTAATTATTAAAACCAGTTTGAGTCAGATTTTTTTTATTGTCTGTAACAAAGAGTATTAACCTCTTTCAATACTGTTCTTTTCTGTACATCTTCAATACTGTACATCTTCTCACTAGTCTTCAAATATCTTGAGGGCAGCGACTGCACATGTGTTTCTGTCTTCTGGCATACAGCCATGAGCTTAATGTTTCACCTGGGAGACATTAAACAGGCAACCTTAGTCCTCTGAAGCCCAGGTAAACAAAAATATCCAAAGAAGCAAATATAAATTTTAAGGAACAATTCCCTGAAGCGTGTGCAGATTGCATGGCAGTCCCCCATGTGTCATAACCTATGGCCTCTAGTCGCATAGCCCAGACATGGTTCTAGCAATATTATTTGTGTGCTGGTTACAGTAATGTGCTAAATGCAAGCCACAGAGCAAAAGAAGGTGCCTTCTCAGGCCCCAGCTTTCCCAGGACCTGGCTCTTCCTCGCTTGCTGTTGCAGTCCTCTTGAGCTGCTTTGGTCCGCTCCATGGAAGCACTAATGCCACTTCAGTATCCAATTTCTTCCATGTAGAAGGGAAGTGATTCTCTCTGAGGGATGGGAAATGGGTTTTTCACAGCCACATGGCTTCTGCTCACATTCTGTTGATGAAAAGTACATTACGCAGCCACAGAATTTCAAGATCACATAGAATTTCAAGGAAGCCTGGAAACTACTGTGTCAGGGAAAAAAGCGTGTGTGTTCTCTACTGAGGCTCAGTAGGGGAGTCTACTACTAAAAAGAAGAGCAGTAGAATGGCTCTTAGGGAGTAGTAACTAGCAGTCCAGATATAATATTTATTTTATGTTGAAGTGCTTGGAGGGCAGGAGAGGCTCAGACACTGTCATCTATTATTACCACGTGTTTTCCACCACTAGTTTTCTGATAACTTCCTTACCTTTCAAGCTGAACATAGGATTTTGGAGATCAAATTTAGAAGCAAGGGAACATTCCAGAACTTCTTCCGATTCCATAAACATCTCTAACATTCTTGACCTCTGGTCTGGTAGTTTGTTCTAGCACTAGATAAAACCCTCCTTTTGCATCCCATCTACTGACTTCTGCTACTGGCATGATGTTAATGCTGAGGTGGCATGTAGCAGTCTCATTCTATCTCCCCGGCCAGAGGTTCCATACCCAAAGGCACTTAGTATCTTTGCTTTTTGCTTTTCTATTACAGTCAGAGAGATCTGGGTATCTATTTGCTACTCTACTGAATTGTGACTGTCATAAAGACTGAAACCACCACTTACAAGCCTTAGCAGCTTCAGTGTGTGGGACAATGCTTGGCACAGAGAGGACATTCAGTTTGCTGAATTAAATGAAACTGATAGCAAATTTTGGTCATAACCATTCAACAGTGGACTTAATGAAAACCAAATATGGTATATTGTCAAAAGAGCATCAAACAAATTAATTTTTTGCTCACTCAACTGTCTTGAAACATAATCACTTGTCTTCTGAAAACAGATTTTAGGTGCTCTATATGCTGATGAATTTAAAACTTATTTTTACCTACATCCATTGTTTCAGAAACTTACTCATAATCATATGATACCCAACAAGCTATGCTCATGATTACCTCCCCAAGCACTCTTAAATTTCATCATTGATACTAACACTTGTTAATTCTTCAACTGTATTATTTTCTTACACCAAAACAAAATGGTGAGGAGTGTTCATCCTGTCTTCACCTTCGTTGTAACCACTTTGCTCCTCTCACACACCACACATTCTGGGCTTTGCTCAAGCAGTCTCTTCTTCTTCCAGCATCTACCAGGTCAGGCCCTTCTCTTTACTCTTCCTTCACCAGTGCTCAAGTACCATCTCCCCAGCAAGTTCAACTTCCCAGTCAGTAGCTTATCCTTCCTCCTTCATGATCCCAAATGCCTTCATTTGTATTTCTCTTATTGTAGTTTTATAGTCAGTCTCTCTTATAAGTGATTTATTCATGAGTCTTTCTTTTCTTAACTTCAGAGGGGTTTACGAAGGCAAGCAGCAAACTTGTCTGGATCCCACCAGTGACCAGGTCATGTGACCTTGAGCATTCTATGTGACACCACCCCTCATGATAAAACTGAGGTCTTGTTACTTCTAACATTGTTCTTAATGGATTTATTTGCTTATTTATAGAACATTGTAATTCATTAATCCTATACCAAGCACTGTTCTAAACACTTAAGTGCTCAACTTAAGATTTTGTAACTGTAAGGTAGGTTCATGGAAACTATACTTCTAATTTTGATCATTTATTTCCCAGGCTAGCAAGATGTAGAATAGATACACTTTCACTATACTGTCCAGTAGGAGCTGTGGTTCCTAGCCACACAACCTCAAGAATAAACAATCAAATTCTTGGCAGTACACTGTGTTGTTAAGCTTTGATATTTGGGAAGTTGGCCACACCAAATATATTTTCAACTAATAATATTTTCAACTCAAAATAGGTTTACCAGAATTTAATCCAATTATTAGACAACACCTGCACTAACTCAATCTTATTTTATGAAACACTGAGCTGGCTTTCAAATTATTTCTCTCACTTGCAGAGCTATTGTTCTATATTCCAGATCATGGCTGGAGCATGTATCTTACCAACTAATTCTTTGGCAGTAAGTTTCCCAATAATGTCTGTCTATGGGGAGGATAGAAAGTGACTGAAGACTGGGAAGAGAGATTTCCTTTGTTATATTTGCTTGCTGTTAGTTCCTTTCAGTACCCTAAGCCCAGCTATAGCCCTTTGGCTAGCTACCATCAACCACTGGTTCCATAGTGCAGCCTCCTTCCTCACTAAGCCCAGCCTCATCAAGCCCATGCAGACTTAGCAGCAGGTCTCTTGCTCATCATGTCCAGCCTCTGTGGTCCCATTGATGTCTTTCATTCACTACCTTGAGAGATGACAGTGTCTTCCTACAGTTGCTACTATGGTGTCATAAGCATTTTCTTCCTTCTCATTCAGCCTCCATAGCACCGAGAAGCTCATTCTTTTTACTGAATTCCTTATATTGAGATATACATCATATAGTTCTGTTTGCTCAGCTTAGTCCAGCCTGATATAGGCTGTAAATTGATATGATTATTATCCCTATTTTAGAGGCCAGAGTGTTTCCAAGATACGGAGGACTCTATCTGTGAAGTGCTCCACCAGGCTTAATGTTGAACCCCCCGCCCCATGGACAGTGCTCCTTGGATATCAGCCA